GACACGTTTGGATTTTGGTTTGGTTTTGTTTGTTTGTTTTTTTAATTAAAGAAAGCCACCCTAGAAAATACTGTTCTCTCTGAAAATGTATTATAATTTTTTCTGAGTTATACAGCTTGACGGTACTTACTGTAATTTCACGTAAGAGTCTAGGCAGATTCTTCTTAATAAAAGCACAAGTTATTTACAGTCAATTAATCCCAAGCTTTAACAACATCCTCTGGAATACAGTTTCAGAAATTACTGGATCTTTCTCATCTAACTAATATATCATCATGATTAAGTTGCAACTTTTCATTCATGTAGTTTTAGTTTTATTTGACGTGTTTTCATACACAACTTCTGTATGGACTAAGATTCAGGGAAAAAAAAAGCCCTTTGTATCACATTTTGTTAGGAATAGTTTAAATTTTTCCTGTAGCTTTCATCATGGTGGTGTCTGGGCACTTCACTTTCACACAGGATTTTTAACTGCTCACCTTCATGAACGGGGAACTAAGGCTCATCTGTTGCATAAGGGACCCCTCTGGACACTAACTCTTGAGTTTTAGTCCAGTGCCTTATTCACAACTGTGTTTCACTAAGTTCAGTGCCATTTTATGCCACAGACACAAGGAAACCTTAACTATTATGTTCAAGGTGGGGTGTTGAGTATAGAGAAACAACTCACAGTGTTTTGGATGTCAGGGGTTTGTGACCTTGAGGTTGGCAAAGCAGCCATACCCATAGTGAACAGCTGGAAGATGCCAACTGATCCACCCAGTAATCACACAGGCAGATGCATCATCCCTATCAAGTTGGAAAATCACCAGGGAGATACTGCAAAGTTCATCAGTAGGGCGAACTCTGCAGGTTAGTCTTCCCCCTCGTCAGAAGTGTAGTTCTCTCCCTACTGCATAAGAATACAAATGCATTTTTCCATACAATTTGGGTTGGCTTATTCTGTTGGCCGCAACAACCCTGAGTAGAAACAGACCTGAAACATGACAGCAGAACACTGGCACTTTGCATGACTGAAAGCAGTTTTGCAGATGAACATGGAACAGAGTGGGAGGACAACTTCTCCTCAGCTACTGCGATCAGTTTATCTCTATGTGGCTTCATGCTGAAATTTCCTGGCACCCATGATGGACAGTAAGAGAAAGAATTTATTTGTATCCCCCCAGCACCAAATTGTGTGGAATTTGCGGCAGCACATGGGCCATGGGCCAACATTTCACTTCAGCACAACATGTGCTTGCTGGACATGGAGTCAGCCAAAGCATCTTCCCCCAAACCAGGCTTCCCTGAGGATGTGGTACCTGAGCTGGCATCCGACCACTGCATCTCTCCAGCTTTGACAGAGGCTGTGGTCATCAGGAGGCTCATTGCAAATGCAATCCTACCACTGCAGCTGCTGCTGAAGGATTCCTATGCTGCCATAAGGACGCTGCAGCAAACTGAACTTGTATGCAAGACACAGAGTTTCTCCACGGGTGATCTACAAGTTTGTAACATGAACTCATGATTATGTATAGCTAACAGATTCTCTGTAGTCCAGTTAATGTACAGGACTCTTGCAAATAATGTGTTTATACCTTCAATCTCTATTGCAAGCATGAAATTAAGAGAAACTATAGTATGCAAAAAATGATAGTTTGGCTCACCACTTTTTAAAAAAAAATTTTTTTAACCCTTTTTTTGATCAACAGCTCCATTTTTCACAAATACAACATTTCTGGAATACAATTGTTTTATAAAACAGTATTCAACTTTAACATTTATTTTTTACTGTCATAAATAAATAAGAGGTTTTATATACAAGGTATGAGTTTGATTTTTTTTTATTCTGTATGCAACCAGCTTCAGTCTTACTCCCATGTTATACTACTTATTCCTTCCTAAGTGCATTGAACTATAAAAGGTCCATCTACTTTCTCCTTCCCCACCCCAGCATAAGCTTGTCTTCTTTTGTGTTTTGCTGGTATGTCACTTAATTTAGCTGCATTTTCATGAAGCAAATATGTCTTTTTTTAGGCTACAGGATCCAGCCTGGGCACTGACATAGCTCAGCTGCGCTTCCAACCCTCCCCTGCCCTGATTTAAGCTTGAGCTACCTGGCAGTCTTGTACCCAGTTCAGTGGAGCTTCTCTGTACAACCAAACTCGAGCAAGGGACAGTGGTTTTGTCCTAAGGGTTAAAATCAGAGTGCACTGGCTGCAGTGAAGTCGGACTGCAGAGGTGTTGAGCATAGACTGAAGCAATACCAGTTTCCCAGCCAAGGCTCACAGCTGCGAAAAGAGCAGCCAACAGCTCTGTGCTGCACTTTATCTGCAGACCTTTAACAAGTTGGCAGCTGCCCTTGTTTCCAGTGACACTGCGCAAATCTCAGACCTTCAAGGGGCTTGTCATTTCATGCCCTCAGCATGTGAAGATGGTTAGAACACCAAAGCACTGCACACACTGCAGTTGCTTTACTTGGCTTCAAGAACTATCTCAGAAAGCCTGGAAGAGACTGAGGGAGAGACCTCATCGCAGTCTACAGCTTTCTTGTGAGGGGAATAGGAAGGACAGGCGCTGATCCCTTCTCTTTGGGGATCAATGACAGAAATTAAGGGAATGGCCTGAAATTGTATAGGGGGTATTTAGGTTGAATATTAGAAAAAGGTTCTTCACCCAGAGGCTGGTCGGACGCTGGAACAGGGTCCCCAGGGAAGTGCTCCAGAAGCATTTGGACAATGCTCTCAGACACGTGGTGGGATTTCTGGGGCTGTCCTGTGCAGGGTCAGGACTTAGACACTGATGATCTTTGTGAGTCCCTTCCAATTCAGAATATTCTGCGGTTCTGTGATTAGCAATATGGCTGAGAATGCTATGCAGGTTATCAATAAACACAGCGTATTACACCATTTGCAGTGTCATATCTCTAAACATCCACAGCATTTCATATTCATTTATGAAGTTTTATCATCAAGGGGATATTTTGAGAAGCTATGCCCTTTGCTATTAGAAGAGATCACAACACAGAGAAAAAGTAATCTGTTCTTACTGTCACGTCTCACCAGTAAGGAACTGCCAGCATGTCCTGAAGAGAAAACCCTCTAGAATAGAAAACCATTAATTCTTCCACATCAAATATACTTGATGCTATCATGACTACAGCATGTGGAAATGTATGTAACATGTATTTATGTTGTGACCTTTTCAGAGGTTGGTTACACACCAGTAAAAAGAGAAAAGTACTCATCAAATAAACTTAATAACTCTTAAAAATAAACTCTTAATATTTTAAGAATTCTTCTGTAGGTTTAACTTGGACTCCTTGCAGGACAAAGGAGACTAGGACTTGTGAGAGTTTCTCTATTCTTTGAACGATGCTTACCAGGAGCCTGATACACTCCAGAAGTACAAAGCCAACAGCACTGGGGCCGAGTACTTCCCACCCACTCATTTGGGGATGACAAACCAATCTGGCAAAAAGTTTGGCAGAAAACTAGCACAGGCATCAACATAGCCAGTTATCTCAAGCTTCTTATCTCAGGTTTTCTTTTCCTCCTAAATTTGCATAAACCTGAGCCGAGACCCCACCTACATCTAAATTTAGTTTTGTAAGCCAAGCACTTACCGGGACTCTGAAGCACCATCAGGAGGACCATGCATCATTCATGTTTGTCTGAAGACGAAGAAATGTTTCTGGTATGCCAGAGCAGTGACTTTAAGGAGAGCCAAAAATGTCCCTATTGAAACAGTGGGTGTAAAGTTTCACTGCCTTTACTATGAATATTTTAAAAAGATCTGAGAAAATATTGGGTCAGGGAGCTGGTCCCTAATTTTGTCTCCTAGGAAATCCCAAAAGAACGCATTCGCTCTGCTGGTAATGGCAACCCCGTAAGCTCACGGTCTCTTCTTCCCTGCAACATGCAACTCTACCTGGGCTTTTCTAGGCCAAGACCAGATGCAGAACTAAGCAAACACATGCAGCCACATGAAGTCGATTTTTTCCTTCAGAAAACCTAATTAACACATACATGTGCATTTCCTTCTGTAACACCAGAAACTGGCAACAATGCAGACTTTGCTGTCAGAATGTTACAGTTTGCACTGGTCTGTAAAGTGTTTTTCTCTAAGGCACAGCAAATGAAAGGATTATGAAATGCAGCTGCTAAGTAATTTCTTGAAAGGCAGCATTGTCAATGATCACGCAGTCCACCGGGAGTTGGAGCTGAACCCAGAAGAGCTTGTTCCAGCTAGGCAGGAATTCATTACGCTGGAAAGTGCTGGCCCATGGTAATAAATTATCACATAGCTCTGGCCTGAATGGCACCCAGGCTGGAGTATAAATAGGTTTGAGAAACCCTTCTCACCTGTTATTGGCCTCACAGTCAACTCATCCTTCTGCAAACAAGTTACAAACACCGCCACTTGACTGCTGTCCTGGGTAAATATATATGTGTATTTCAAAGCAGTGCATCTTTTCCCACTGAAAATATGTGTCCTCTTCTTACATACAAGATTGGGATTGAGGACAGCTATGAGCCAGAGATGTCTCAGATTGCAAATGAGCAAAGCTTTGGGATTTGGGCCAAGTTTTCTTTGTTTTTTTTGCTCGGGTCTATTGGGAGCACAGAATACATCTCATTAGAAAACTTTAGACTGTACAGGATCTTTTGGGTACGTTGTTCCTCAGACATGTAAATAAGTGGCACCACTGAAATGCCAAATAACAAATAGCAGCAGAAATGACAGAAAGAAGACATGGCAAAAGAGGAAGAGGAGAGGCCCAATGAGGAGAGGATGTGGTGAAATACCAGCACATAGAGGGAGATGCATTTCGATAACCTCACCACACATCCTCGAGGCTACCAGGTCTGGCTGTCTCAATCTCTTTTTCAAATTATTTTATTATTTTGTTAAATTAAAAAAATATAATAAAAATAAAATATATACAAACAAAAATATAAAACCAAAATAAAAAATATACAACCAAAACACATTTATTGCAAACTCCATCAAAATATTATCTACGTCGTCTTCTTCTTCACATGACATTCATTCCAGCCCAAAATGTTGGAGAGGTTTTTCATCACGTTCTGAGGCTGGCTGGCAGCATGCTTCCTCAGCTTGGAGCCCATGGCTTCATGTAGGGCCTTTGCAAGCTGGGCGACCACAGTCCTGACGTTGGCACTTCGGACGGGCGGGCTCTTGTTTCCCAGGAAGGACCAGAGCACGGGCAAGGCGTAGCGCTGGACAACTTCAGGGCTCCTGGGATAAACACATGCCACAAGCACTGCAGGGCAAGAGACACAAGCTTTTAACAACCAACCTTCATGCAAACGAGTACCTACCTACATGTTTGATTCTTGGAAACCTTTTCTGGCTAATATCAGCAAAGAGCCCAGTGATCCAGAAATGGGCAGAGCAGCCGATCACCCCCTGAACAGAACAACCGACCCTTCGGGACTAATTTCTCTAAATCACAGGCCTTGTATCTGTGACAGACTTAGCAAAGTGAATCATATCCATTTGTTAAATCAGTTGACTGACTGTTCCTGCATGACAAATGACGCAAATGTCAAATTGCTGTTTATTTCCACTAAGAAGTTATCTAAATCCACTGCTGAAGATTTTGAAATGCACCTTAGAGAGCTAATTGAAAGATTTCTAATACAAGGGATGATTATTTTTTTGTGCCCTTGATGTAAAATGCCAAAAGTCTAATCTGGAGGTTCCCTTTGCTCAGGGGCACACTGCAAAGGGCAGTATTAGACAGCGCTTCAAAACTCCAGCCCGTAAAAGGTGGGTGCTGCTTGACAGTTTTATCAGACGCATCAGTGACTAACTTATGTCTTTGACAGAACGGTCCAATCTGAGCTTTTCTTTCCCTCATATTCTGTGGCTTCTAATGAACAGCTGTTTCAAACTTCAGGGTATATTAGATAATTACTCAGACCCCACTGCCATGGCATTTGAGCATCTCACAATTTCAAAGGCATTTCCCATCACAATGTTAAGAGCATTTACTCTCCCAATGTGCACAGAAATAGCAGAATAGAGAAAGAAAAATGTTACATGGGGGGCTGAAATTTAACCAAAAAACAAGCATTCTCTCACATTCTCTCTGAAGTCTCTCTCTCTGCTCTTTTTCTGAACTGAACTATATTAAATATGAACAAAAATTTACTACCAATGGCCTCCTTACGTGGCAGATTTTCCTGAGAGACCAAAATCTGAAATGCTCTGAAATGTTATGCAGTAACCATTTATTATTCTGTGGTGGAAGAACCTTCATTTTCTCTATGCTGTTAATCTAGCAACAGTCATTCAATTCTGGTAAGCAAGAAAAGGGTTATGGTACCCATTTTAAAATGGGAGCTAATTGGAGGTTAAATGCAATTAAAGACATCGGTCATTCTGAAACTTCAGAAGAGA